ACCAATCAGCAAGATGATTCTGGTGAGAAACTATTGAGAGAGATAAGTACATAAATATATACACTAAAATGAAGAAAGCTAGTTGGTCGATGTAAAATCGCTTGGAAAGGGACAGAAGTAGCATCAGGAGAAAACCTAATCTGTAATTGACTTTTGAATAGAGAGAGATCATATCAATATAACACCAGCCTACTTCACTGTACAAGTGTCAGGAACAGAGGGCTAAAGCTAAAGAGATTTTTTCATATGAAATATCTGAAAAACTCAAGTGTCTTTATACACAAACCTCAAAACCTTTTTTCTCCAAAGTACTATGAAGAAGTCATTAAAGAAACATTTCCAGGTGGAGATGGTTTAATGGGTTGCAAATGCAGAGGAAAGATAAAATAAAGGTTTATCAGGATAGAAAGAATTTTAATACACTAATCATCATTGATTAGTATGGAACAAGTGGGATTAGGAAAATTAGAAATGTCACTTTATTAAACTAATCATGATTAAGATTGTTCCCTACGTGATTCCTTACGTGTAAAGTCGAAAACACTCAGAAAGCAAGCAACTTTAGTTTTTAACTGGAGGTGATCATATACTTTAAGTCAGGGAATCAGTTTAAGATCAGGAGATTTAGAAAATTAGAGTCACATGTACCCAATTGAATGGACCAAGAAACAAAAAAGGGATTCAGCAAATCACGGTTGATTATGCAACAGATATCAAAAATGGATCGTCATCAAAAAGACAAGATAAGGCACTAATAAAGCACTCAATCAGAATTTGTGTTAGGAAATAAAGCTTAACACAGATAAGCTACAGCTACAAGCAATCAAAGATGATGTGAATGGTAGTTTAGTATTCATAAGAGCCAATCAACTTTCAGATTAGTGCTAACACAAAGTGTTAAACTTTAAACCAATATTACTATTTTAAACTGATGAGAAAATATCTTAAATTGGAAATAAGGGAACCCAAGAATAGCATAAAAGCATATCCTTTTCACAAGCCTAACATTTCCATAGAAATTGTCATTCATACATCTTTGACTGATAGATACCAGATAATTAGACACAACACACATGTTCCTCTAAAACACTAGTAAACAAAAGGAATGAACTTGTGCCTAACCTTATCAGCATAATCCGAATAGCTTTGCCCGAAACTCTCCATCATCAATTCTTCCTCTAGCTTTGCCTTCTTGTTGTAGTAAACCAAACAAACAACTACAAGAAACAACAGACTCAAAGGCGCACGTAGCGCGGTGCAGTATGTCGCGAAAAGAAGCATCGTAGAAGCATATATCGGATGCCTGACCCATCTATAAGGACCAAACTGCACAACAGCTGTTGGAACAACAACCTTTTCTGAATATCTAGCAAGATATAGCGTTGAATCGTAATGCATAAGCATTGTAATCACAATCAAAACCCATATCCCTACATTGGCCCAACCGCCTGGTAAACGATGAAGCTCAGGCCCTTCGAAAGCTGCAAGCCAATGTCCAACCATGATTCCAACACCAAACAAAACCCGAGACCATAAAGGCGTGTTCACATCCCACTTGGGATCATGTGAGCGAGCATAGTAATCTCCATAGAGGCGTTTCCTCACACTTACATTGAAGAAGAAGAAGTAATGATACGCCAAGAAGAACACATAAGGCCAACCTTCGAGATAACCATTGAAATAAGCAGGAGGCACAAGTGTAAGCCATGTGAAGACTGAAGTTACAATACCAAGCTGCTCAAAGGCATTAGCTTGACCAAGCCAATGCTTACGGAAACAGTAAATTCCGTAACCCGCAAGACCCACAGCGATAAACCAAGGCCAGAACAGCCATGTCCAGCTGAAATACATCCAGAAGAATGGGTCGAAGACCAAATTCAGAGTCTTTTTTGCAGCCACAATCAAAATCAATGACAAAACAGTTAACTTCACAACATCCATGGGTTTCAATCTCAACTGGCGAACTTTATCCACCAATGAACCAAACGAGAGGGACCGGAATTGGCTAAGGAAAGGATTGTCGGAATCCGAGACAGTCGAGCGAGAAATCGAGCATCCGGGCGTAACCCATGAAGATTTTCTCACTGGGAACGGAGCACATCTCAAGCTAGACGGACTCTTAATAGCTTCAAAGCTGCGGAGTAACGGAGTGTTTCTGGAATCAGCACGAAGCGAACGGCACTCAAGGTGTTTGTTTAAAAGCCTGAACGAAAACTTTCGGTTATCTTCCAAACGTAGCCCACGAGGAACAACCTTCGAGCAGAGAAGCACAGCTTCCATGGTGAAAAGAATTCAAAAAACACGGATACAAAGACAAGATTCAGAACAAATCTCTAAGCTTCATAATTGCTTCGTAAGCGAAACAAGTGAAGAGAAAAACAGATAAACATCAAACACAGAGGAGTGATGTGCTTTGTCTTCGATAATTAACAATGGGCCTTTAGGCTTATAATAAAATGGGCCAATAGGTCAAATGTTTCAAGGTCTTTGAAAAAAAGTGATGGGCTTTGACAAATCATGTGGGGATAAAATCGTAAAACTGCGGAAGGTTCTATTAATCGGCTCATTTAATTCTGCTGACTTAACGCCGGCTACTTTCTGTGAAACCGACCGGTCGCACATGCCGCTTGGAGAGAAGAAGTTGCTTCCAATATGTAACTTTTTACATTTCTATTTCTGAAAAAGAAAACATATAAAATGAGTCAACTTGAAATGAGGAAAAGTAGGAAAATTAGAAAATTCAAATTTTTCTATGGTTAAAATTTCTTCCTTAAAAAAAAAACTGATCGAACAAAAGTAATTCACCTTCCCCTTTTCTATATTTTTGTTATATCATATTTCTATTACATTTAACATTATAATACCAAAAAAATTGGTATTATCTTTGGCAAAACTTTTTTTTTTTATTATACTTGTTTTCTTTACAACATTAACATAAATACTATATACACTAACATGTCCATGTGCAATTGTTTTTTAAAAAGTGGGACTCACATAAAAGTGGGAACCCATTCAACTGTTTCACGTTCATGCGTTCAAGACCAGTTCTACGAACAAAAAAAAAAAAGATTTATGAATGGAGTAAGAAGATAGCACAAAATAAATGATCAAGACAGCGATGTGTAACTAA